GGGAGGGAGGAAGGGAGCGAGCAGAGCAGTTGTAGTAGGAGATCATAGGAATGGAGGAGGGAGGGAGCGAGGAACGATATTTTTTTCCCTTTTTCGGAGATATTTCCTGAATTCTCTGCGAGGTTTTCACCTAGGTCGTCACAAGCATTTCACAAGGAGGAATGTTATTGGTTGACGAACATAAACTATTTTAGCATTTAGTTTTTTGTTTTTTTTTTTGTTTTTTCTTGTTTTTTTGTTTTTGACGTAAACTTCTTGGACATTCATTCAACTTGTAAAGGATACCTCCTCTGTCTCCTCTTTGTTCTGTTCTTCTCTCTCCTGGCCTCGCTCTTCCTCCTCTCTTCGGTCTTTTCTCCTATTGACTACACAGCCTTTGTGGTCTGTTTATGTCGTCCTGCCTTTTTTGTGATGCACTTGGGTCCATCTCTCTCTCACTCATTCTGCTGTCTTCTTATCACCCCTTGCTTGGATTGCCTTATTATTGGTGCAGGTTGGGAAGGGCAAGGATGTTGGACTCAACCAGATTGCGATGTTTGAGGCTAAGGTCTCCAGTGGAAATGGAGAACAGATCCTCAGCCGTGATGTGTACAGACTCGGACATCGCTTGGATTTCTTGCGGATGTTATCTTTCTACTGCACGTCTGTAGGCTTCTTTATCAGCAACCTGGTAAGGATTCTGAAGGTAGAGTAGGAGAGGTGGTCGGAGATCCTCTCCTATCGTATGCTTTCATAGAGGAGCAGGGGCAATCTCCTAAACATGTTTTCTCGCATGCTAGTCAATATCATCACTGTCATGTTCGCCAGTCAGACCGTAAGCTCATGTGTTTTCTGCTGGTGTGAACAAGGTCCCTCACTGTCATGTTCTGTACAATAAGCTCGCTCTTTTTTTGTTCTTTGTTACCTTGACGCCTTGAAGAGAGCGACGTGGAGGGTGGAGGACCGACCTCTACCTTGTTCTAATGTTGTAACCCCTCTGTCCTATCCATTGTGGTTGAGGTTCCGGGGGTAACTCAGGCATTATTTGCTGTGACGGCATACTCACAGTGGTACTTATCTGGATGCATTCGACTACTCTACCAGTCAGTTTGTCCAAAATGTCCAAGCCTGAATATGGCTTTACTTGTCTAGCCGTTTCCTCTTGTCCTCTCGCTGCCCTAACGGGTACCTAACACCCCGGCATACGTAATCGTAGGGCAGAGGAACAGTAAAGGGGGATTCAAAAGAAGAAATGAAAGAGGAACTACAAAAAAATCAAAAAAGCTAAGGTAAGGAAAGAGAAGAACGAGCTGCATAGCAAAAGGCAGACAACGGTTTTTGTGGGCTTCGTCTTGTCTGATTTATTTTTTTTGGTTTGCTTCCCGGAGTGCACTCCTTTAGGTGATAGACATGTGTGGTAAAGCTGTTTCAATTTTGGATCTACACATCTGGGTGAGAGAGAGAGAGAGACGGACAGACATTTCCAGTAGCTTTTGATTGAAAGGAACAGGGTCACTCCTTTTCCAGCTCTTTGTGTGTGTGTGTGTGTGTGTGTGTGTGTGTGTGTGAGAGAGAGAGAGAGAGAGAGATGGACAGACATCTCCTGTAGCCTTTGATTGAAAGGAACACAGCCACTCCTTCTCCAGCTATTTGAGGGTCCAGAGAGGTCCGCTCCCAACACTTACAGCTTAGGATGTCCATTTCTTGTCACCGGGTCAGTTGTTTTGAACGAGGACGGACAGACGGACAGGACCAGTAGGTTTTGCATGAAAAGAATATAGTACTCCCTCCCCAGCTCTTGGATCTCCCAGAGCGGTCTTCTCCCAAAACTTACAGCTTAGGCTGTCTGTTTCTTGTCACCAGGTCAGTTGTTTTCAATGCGTGCATATGAATCTGGTCCTCCATCGAAGTGTCAAATTCTTGTCATTCTCCCACGTCCGTGAACATGTTCACCTTTCTCTCATGTGATTGATAACATTCATACCCACCATTCATTGAAGTCCTAACTTTTAACTTTTCCGTCGCCTGCGAGTCAAAGCGGATTGACTGTCTGAAAAAGATTTCAGTCTGAAAAGGAATATTGAATGCCAAACGGTTCTTTCGCTTTGATTATGGCCCAACGACACTCTCCATGCTCCACACTCAGTAGCTATCACGAACGACTTGAAACAAATTTTTTATTCTAATTTAAACTTTAAAGTATTTTATACATCAATTAGGGCTAAATTTCTCTGAAAAGTATTGCAGGACCTTTATGGTATGCTGGTAAAGGACCCTTGTACGTGATTGCAATTTGGCATGGCATGACACACTCTCTCTCTCTCTCTGTTACATGCTGCGCCTGCAACAGGTTGCACGGGCCATTTTCAGGCCCGTGTTTTTTTTTTTTAACAAAACAGGGCCTTATGGTCCTGGCTCCTTCTATTCTGGGGAGCGTCAATCCAGTTCCTGCGCCCCTGAGGGGCCGCTTACATTCGATTGAGGCCTAGGATGCGAATATGCCCCCTGGGCCCCTGAGGGGCCGCTTACATTCGATTGAGGCCTAGGATGCGAATATGCCCTCAGACGTTGCCTGCTGGTGAAAGCCTCTTTCTGG